AGAGGTCACTGGGCAGAGGCCACCAGGCACAGCTCCCAGCACCACGTCTAGACAGAGTCCTGCAAATCCAGGCCCCTAGGCCAGGTGGCTCTGGTCACCTCATATCTGGTGTGGCATTGCTGCCCCTCTGTACTCCTCTGTGTCCAGGGTCAGGCTGCTTTTCCTTTCCTCTTTCACGAGCTTGTAACTATCCCCTAGGTCAGCTCTTCTTGGGTCATCTCCATGGTAGCAAGAGAATGGCCAAGAGGGCCCCAGTGGAGGGGTACAGCTGTCATCAAGGAAGGATTTCATAGGTGGACATCACAGTGCATGGTGTGGAGTAGGCTAGATTGGGTGATGCCATGGTGCAGAGAAAGGAGACTTACCCAGTAAGGGTGAGGTTTGGGATATGAAGGTGTGTGTGTGTGTGTGTGTGTGTGTGTGTGTGTGTGTGTTTGTGGGGCAGACATATGCTTATGACATGTACCTCTGAATGTGAGAGTGGGTGCATGTGAGCCCCAATAGGCATGACTATGGGGGAGTGGGTATGAGTGTGGGAGGGGGAACAACGACAGGGTGGTCACAGTGAGGGGGACCAAGGTCTCTGGGAGAGTGTGGGTGCTAGCACAGAGGGTGAGGCTGGCCCTGAAAAGAACTGTGGGGGGAGCTGGGTGCCAGCTGATGCCTGGTTGGATTCTAAGGTCCCTGCAGGTTCAGGCCATCTGCCAAACTCCCTCTGGTGGCCACCTGGTGACCATGCAGGTAAGATGGTCAGGGCTCCCATTTTCTGTGGGTAGGGAACTGTTGAGTTGCCCTTTCCTCAGAGCATCCTGGCTAATGCCCCTCAAATCAGCTCTCCTGGAGCCACATTGACAAAGTCAGCATGTTAGGACATGCCAGGGCCAGGGGAGAGGCACATTCCCTGGGCTGGCAGTAGAGATGGCTGACTCTCAAGGAGAGGACAGGAAGGGGCACTGGCTGCTTCTTACTAATGGCTTCCAAGAAAAGAACATCCAGTTTTCCGAAGTAGACATTTGGAAATGACTGCCCACATGGGAGCGCTCAGCCTCACACCTAAAGAAATCAATCCTGTGCAGGAGTGAGCCTGGGACCCCAAGAAATGATTCTGTCTCCTCTGGCCTGAGAATACTTGATACCCAAGGAAGCAGTAAAGCAGGGGGAGGGTGGCCGACTCACTTAAGGCTGTGCCCTCCCTGCTGGGAGAGTAAAATGTCTGCTGGCATTTCCCACCAACTCCCAAGCACATCTGGAGAACGAGTCACTGGCAAACAAGGGGAGCCCTCCTCCTCTGAGGAGCCCATGTTGACTGCGTGTAGGGTAAGGGAAAGCCTGTCCTGGGATGTGGAGGAGCTAAAACATGAGCACAGCAAACATCTGTAGTTTTTTTTACCTTTATGAGCTGGACAGAGTAGAGCCAGGGCCTGCTTGCTTGGAGAAGAGAGGACCCGAGGGCAGCCTCTGCTTGAGCACAGCACAACCTGAGCCCAGGAGCATGGCCCTCTTGAGAGGAGTGGAAGTTGACAAAATGAAGCTCACCTTCTCTTTGCTTTCAGGGGCTCAGTGTCTTCCTACATCCCACTGTCCCTGGAAGCAATCCCATGGTTGGCTGGTTGTACACCCAGCCTATGGAGAGCCAGCAAGGGCAATTGGTTAAGAGCCATTTGTTATTTGATCCTCAGAGTGGAGTCTTGGGACAACTTGCCTTTTGGGCCTTTTCCTAGCCCCAGAACTCTTGTATCATCCAGTGTCAGAAGCACAGAGTACTCCTTGCAGCTCTGGGGTGGGGTGCCTGCAGTCAACAACCGGTAGCCACCATCAGAAGTCTAATGTTTCATTCTTCTGGTGTCACCTTGAGAGGAGAGGGGAAAAAGTACTGCACAGTGCATGTAAAGGAAGACGGCCCACCTACCTCAGCCCGGTCAGTCCCTGGGACGGGACTGAGAGCCTCCCAGGGCCTGGGCATCTGCTGTTCATTTTCACCTGATTGAGAAGTACCAGGCAGCTCAGCCTTCCCTTTCTGTTTACAGATTCACATGAAGACCATGCCTGCGGCCATGTTCAGACTCCTCACGGGCCAGGAGACCCCACTATACATCTAGGTACACCCAGCCTCGCCGTGGAACAGAGACACTAGGCAGACCCACCTGGGCCCAGAGGAGCCAGAAGCCAGGAAAGAGCCCTGACCCCTTGACCCCATAGCCCAACCAAGAACTCTGGCTCCCCTGAAGGGTGTGTCCTGGTCACCTAGTTTTCTTGTTTTGGTTTTGAGTTTTGCCACAAAAAAAAAAAAAAAGAAAAAGAAAAAGAAAAAAAAAAAGGTATGTCCTTACCAAGGGAGAGTCAAGGGACAATCCTTTGTAAAACTTACCAGTCCTCTGCCACGTTCTCATTGCGGCTGATGAAGGGTGCTCACGGGTAGTACTTTGTGTGGTGTGCTGTGTCTTTCCTCCTCCCTGAGGCTATGGAATGTGAATGTGGTGGCCACCCTTGAGGCTGTGAGGGGAGCCCTCTGTGATGCAGCTGCAGCCATCTCTACCCTTTGTCTGGGATACCTGGGGTCCAGCCCAGTCCTAAAGGGCCCACAGCTGGCGTTGCCTCCATCTGCATAGGAGCAGAGGCAACCTGGCTCCCAGGATGAGGCTTGGGCCGATTGTGGGGACCTGTGATTGATTGTAAGTATTTACACAGCAAGGGGATACTCCTGAGTTAAATAAAAAGTGATGGTCACCATGTCAAAACTCCCTATTTATTTAGCAAATATTACTGTTTGGACTCTGACCTTGGCAAGCCTTTCTTCAGACGGTTAGGTTTTCCAATGACCTGTGCCCACAGCTGCTTCCCCTCTCCTAGCCTGTTCTGATCCCCCTAGACCCTGTGAATTTCCCTGGACATCCTCACTTTAACTCCTTCTCCACCACAGGGCTCCCTGTTGGGGGAACAACATCCTTCCAGGAACAAAGGCAGAAGCATGGGAGACATCCCTATTTAAAAAAAAAAATCTACATATAGACACACACACACACACACACACACACACACACACACACACACACACACACACCACTCCCCCCCCAAAAGCACCCCCACAACAGAACACCCCACCACTGTCCCCCCAAAAGCAAGCCCACACCAGAAAACCCCACCTCTGTCCTCCTGAAGGGACCAGTGAGAGTACAAATTACTTGTCAAGTGATTTGGTGCTTGGCCATCAGGCGCAGAGCAGTGTTAGTGTGTGGAGCAAGGAGCGCAGTGGCTGGCTCAGCTCATTAGCCATCAATGTTAACTGACATCATTTTGTCTGGCAGTCTCTTTTTTTGGCTCAGGCCTTGAAGAATACACTGTGACTTAAGAAGCCTTATTACACAGTAACTAAAGCTTTAGGATTACTGTACTGGAGGAGTAACCTGTGTGTTGCATGCAGCTGACCCTAGGAAGACTTCCTGCATATCGCTAATAAACCTGAAGTCATGACAGAAACGCACTTTGTGTGCCTCATTTGTCAGCTGAGCAGGCCCCGCAGGCCTCTCCTTTCCACAGTTGGGACGGTGGCTCTGTGAGTCTGCTGCGTGGTCATGTCACCCCACGTCACCTCTTGCTGGTCTGGAAACCTAGCAGCTCTCACACAGGAAGTTGGAGGGCAGGTGCTGAACTCACCAGGTGTCACTGCTGGTGTCATGTCGCCAGACCAGCTCCCCAGTCCCTACTCACCTGCTGCATGGATGACACATGGCTGTAGACTGCTCGTGACTAAATAAAGAGTAATGGAAATAGGCTTCTCCAGATCTGTAACCTCAGGAGAAGTGCGTGTATATGTGAAAGAAGTTGGCCCACACCCCGGCACTTCTCCACACCTGTGTGATCCATACATGTAGAACATTAACATCTGTGCTGTTCTGCACCTTGCTCAGTGGCCACAGGCAGGCTGGTGCCTGACATGAGTGGGGAATGGGGCAAACTTGGGATTTTTCTCAGGAGGTTGGGGTGGGAGAGCCTGGCGAGCCCGATCCTCCTCTCTGACCTGCCATGGCAGAGCATGCCCCACTGTCCTGAGCTGTTGGCCAAGTGCTTTTTCGTTGTTCATGATTCTGCTGGAAGCCCCTGAGGGGCCTGAGCCATGCGTTCCCTTCACTTCTGGCCATCAGGGGCAGGTGAGAAACAACCTTGCACTGTGAACTCTGGCTCCAAACAGTGCAGCAGGAAGACATGTCATCAGAAATGCAACACAAAGGTCTCCTCACTCCCCGGAGACAGAAGAACTGAGAACAAAGAAATTGCTTCCCTGTGCCAAGATTCAAGAACTGCTATCTAGATGGCTCGGATTCTTGCAGAATGAAAAGAACAGTCCCTGGGGTGAAAGCTAGAGAGCAGAGGGGCTGGTGCGCGCTGCCTTCCCAGTGGGATGCCCGTGTGTCCTGGACAAGCTTGTGCCCAGTTCCAGAGAGAAGATGCACAGTGAGAGATGAGATGAGGTACACAGCGGGTGTGGTGTGTGCCTGTGTTTTCACCTGTGTGCAGGCACATGTAACATCTGTGTACACGTGGAGTGTCTTCCTCTGTTACACCTAATCTTATCTTTGGAGACAGTCTTTTACAGAACCTGGGGCTTGCTATTCCAGCTAGGCTGCCTAGCTGGCCAGCCCCTGGGATCTGCCTGTCTGCACATCCCAGCAGTGGGGCTACAGTGTGCATCTCCCTTCATTCTTAGAATCCATATTCGGATCCTCATGATAACCTGGCAAGCCCTTTACCCACCAAGCCATCTCCCAGCCCCTGATATACATAGTTCAGGACCTTAAAGGGAAGACTTTGGAATATAAGACTCCACTTCCAGGTAACTCTGAATGTGAGGTCCACAGAGGGGCAGCTGTGGTTTGGATCTGTAGGTATAGGGAACTGTTCTAACCTCAGCCCCTGGCACTGAATTTTAGATGGGCAGCTGTGGTGGCCTCTTGCTCCCCCAAATCCAGTCCCTCCAGGACCCTCTTAGTTCCAGTTAGACCTCAGCGACCAGAAATACTTTTTATTAAAACACTGATCATTATTAAAACACCTTGAGGTACATTAAATAAATACAACCTTTCAAGTTGTACAAACAGCTCTCTGGTGGCCTGAAAACAATTCCCTATAAATTCTGCTTCAGCAGCATCTGTAAGCTGCTATAGCACAAGGGGAAGGGAGGAGAGAAGATCCGACGTGAGCTTTCCGTTCCAGGGCTGGTTGCAAGCATTTCATTTTATCATGGCCTCCCTGAGAAGGAGACCGTTAGTCCCTGTGATGGAGCCTCCTGCCCTGCCTTCCTTGAAATAGAGTTGGTGCCTACCGTGTGTTCACATCAGCATCTTTCTGCCCCTAGGCAGACACTTAGACACTTGAAGGATGTCCTAAAAGAGATGGCCTTTTATTTTCTGGTTGGGGGCCCAGGACCTAACAAGCCTGGAGTGAGAGCATCCCCTTCCAAATGATCACTGTTGGGCCCAGTTTGGATACCAATTGGGGGGGACAACAGGGAAAAAGGTTCCAAGATGGAAGGATGTGCAAGCAATTTTGAGGACAGCAATTTTTTGCTTCAGGGAACCCACATATTGCCTGGGGTTCCTAGAGGCAGAGCCAAGGGACCCAGAAGAGACAAGTCCAATTCCAAGAACATCATCTGGTGGCTGTAACCAATACCTCTGACTTCTGGAAGCCTGTAGCCTGTAGCCTTCCTAGTGCTCATGTGGGCCACCTGGGGCCCTGTGAAGGTGAATGGAGACTGACTTGTCTCCATTCTGACAGCCTTTTTCTGGGAACCAGGGGTTCTCACCAACCCAGGAGCATGAAGTCCTGTAAGATAAACCAGTTAGGGGAGCCATCTCATAACCTGGCCAGACTAGTTTGTGCATACCACTTTCTGGAGACTGCCTGGGGACTCAGGGATTTCCAGGTAGTGGTGGTGGTGGCCTGCAACTGAGGAGAGGTGCAGGTTGAGGCAAGAGTGCTATGTGACAGATAGATGAGGGCCTGCTGCAAAGTGACAGCATGAATGCCACAGAGTCCCAGGCTGTGTCCAGAAACTATTCACCCTGGCTATACTATGAAAATATCCTAGAGCTTGGGTCAGTTGGGATGGGGTGGGTCCTGGCCTCTCCTGTGTCTCAGCTGGTTCCAAGACCCATAAATGTTTAGTCACACTGCTGCATGGACCCTCCAATCAGGAGACACCCTACAGCTGCCTCACCTCAGGTCCAGGCTATGGAAGTTTTTCAAGCTGATAGGCTCAGGGGAGGCCATTCTACCTACAAGGAATCTGACAAAACCCTCATTTGAGAAAAATTAGAGGATTTTATAGTCTGAATAAAGTGCTCAAAAAACTCATCTCTATTGCATCTCCTTCGGAAAAGGCAAGGTTGCCGTCAAATGCCTGATTTATGCTTTCCAGTTCCCTAACCTCAGGAAGGCAACAACTTAGGGCAATGGTAAAGTCATCAGACCATGGAGCGCTGACTACCGCTGGGTGTTTCCCAAGCCATATGTGGGCTGAAGCCCCACAGCTTCCAAACACATGAAGGTCCTCAGCATATTGGCTACAGGGTATTTGGGGGCTGGAACAGGGGCATGGAGGCTGAAGGACAGGCAAGGACAGGTAAAACTGAAGAGCTGCTTAGGCCTACCAGCTGGACACTGAACAACGGTGGTCATGCTCTGGTCCACCCTGGCACTTCCCACAGACTTAGGACTTCTGTGCCAACAGGCTAATTGGGGTGCGGTGATCTCACATGCTTGGAGCTGCTGGTTTGGATGAACCAGATCTGGGTGTTTCCATTTTTTGCAGGAAGTTCTTGCAGGCAGTGTTGCTCCAGACCCACTGCTAAAAAGTGGTCACTGTTGAACTTGTCAGAAAATGAGGTCTCAACAGCCAAGAAATTCCGGACTGTCCATTTGGCCCAAAGCCACCTGGTTGTGCCTAAGTTGGTTTTTGCCTTGCTTCTGTCCATTCACTACTGGCATTCTCCCAGAAATAAGTGACTGGACATTTGCATCCTTCAACACAGGTGTGCCTATTGCCACCTGAGTCGAACAGGGACAGCTCTGAATCATTAAAAGCATGCCTTAGCCAAAGGTGCACATATCACAGTGAAAAAAAAAATGCTTCTTAGCCCAGACTGTGTCCTACCCAGCTCAGTTGGGTGAGGTCAGGTCCCAGGGGACACCCTCCAAGGGATGGGGGGAGGAGCATATTGTTAAGACACAAGTAACGATTATTTGCTGTGGTTAAAGGGTGGGAGACTGTGGGGGAGGGGCCCAGGAAAGGAAGTGGGGATAGCAGCCCACAGACAGAGGCATAGTGGGGAAGCCCAGGATGTAAGGAGGCGGGCATTTCAAGCCTCTGTGTCAACTGCTTGCTTCCCAAGAGTGCCTAGGAAGAGTTTTCATTATGGATTTATTTGCATGATAGCTCAGTGAGCAAAAGGGTGGGTCCAGGCTGTGCTAACATTGCCTGTTTCCTTTGAAAGGAAGCAATGGGTCTGAATTTTATAAAGGTTTCATTGCAGAGTGATACCAGCCACATGGGAAATGGCTCCATTGCTGCTGCCACCAACTACTCGATTAACACCGAACTCAACTGGGCCCAGAAGAGAACCTTGTGTTAAAGGCCTTGACTTGGAACAGATGCAGTGTCCTCATGTTCCACAAGTGTCAGCTGTCCCTGGATAGGTATTCCTGCCACATTCTTCAGTTCAAGGTGCTACACCCCTGAAGCAGCCAGAGCTTGCTAAGGGCAAAAGAGAAACATGTCTGAGTTAGTGGGGACAGGGAGCAAACAGTCCCGGGAAGACAACTGATGGGGGAAAGAGTAACAGTTCCCTGCCTGGGCCACCAGAGAGCTTTCGCCTGGGTATTCTGGGTGTTCTCTGCACAGCAGGCCAAAGGCCTCTCTCTATCAAGCATGGTGGTGTCATGCAGAACTGGACTTTGCAGGCACTGGGCTCATCGGTGTCCACATTCAGGTCTGTAGCTGCTTCATAGCTGGTCCAGGACACCAGCACCAAAGATGGCCTCTTCCACCCTGGGCTCCTCCGAGGTGACCGTTGAGCGGATGGTGCCCACCACATGTCGCACCTCCGAAGGGACAGTGCAGTGTGAGTGTTCCAAGAACTTAGCCACCAAAACCCTGGTGTCCATGTAGGCCTTGCTCTCCACTAGGGAGTGTGGCCTCTCTTTGGAGACGGTCTGTAAGGTCTCTGGCTTGGCCCCTTGGTCCATTTTCCAGGTATCTGGGTTGCCAGCAGATGAGAGCTGGTGCTGACAGGCAGCCATGGCTGGGCGTAATGCGGAGACTAAAAATCAAAGTGAAAGATGAGATTTGAAAACAACTGTGAACCAAATGAAACCAAAGCTCTAGGGGAAAAAAAAGGAACAAAAGTATGCTGCAAGTTTTGTTTCAGAGAAGGCGCCTGAGCATGACCCAGCTTCCTGTCAGCCTGAGGTGAAGTTGGGGTTAACCTCTAAGGATTGAGGTGAGGAGTGGGCCCAAGAGAAGGGCTGGTGAGGGGTTCCTGAGCTCTCCTTAGACTTCTGCAGCTCCACGACCTCTGTTCTTTGTGGTCTGGTGGCTTGTTGGGGTAGCCTAGGAACATCCAGACAGTCTGATTTAAGACTAGAGCTGAGGTGGCAAAAAAGGCAGGGAGATTCCTCTGCCATGTCAGGTATAGACAGCAGCCTCTATCTAGGGTCTTCCCCCCGGTGTCCTCTAGGCTGAGCCTGGAGGAATGACTGTCTCCCCTCAGATGTCAAACCATCACTCTACCTCAAAATTAGGACAAACAATGCTTAGATGGCACCTCCACGAGCTAGGTTCCTTTGGGTAATGAATATGGTCCACTGACCAAGGGTCATATTGGGAACCAGCTTGCCTAACATATCACCCAAAATAGACACATTCTGGGTGGTCTGTTGTGGGTCCTGGGAGTAGTAGCAGGCAAGCGTAGTAATGAAGTACAAGACTATGTATAAACTTCTTAGGCAGGGCCAATGACCCCCTTAAAAAATTGTAAAGCAAAGTAAGGCAAAGCTGGGTGGCAATGGCCCTAGCCTTAGCACTCTGGGGCTGAGACAGGAGCTTGAGGTCAGTCTGGGCTATCTAATGAGATGCTATCTCAAAACAAAACAAAACTAAATGTAAATAAATAAGCATATGTACACTGTTAGTTACTGGCTTTGACATAATTACCTTGAGCCAGGAACTCACATTCTAGGGCGACAGCTGGAGCAGCTGAATGAAGAGATAGCAAAGATCTACTAGACCTCACGACCCCTGCTTCAGAATAGAAGGATGTCAAAATGTTTGAGGGGTACTATACTTCTCTCCAGAGCAGCCCAGGTCAGTCCTGTCTCGGGGTTCAGGCTGCATCTCAACCAGAAGTACATTGAGTAAAATTCACCAGCTGCCTAGGGCTGAGCAGTATGTTAGATGGCAGACAAGCAGACTGTAGATAAAAGGAAGCCACCTTGTACTTCTCCAGGCCCAGGTCCCACAGGAACCCTGCAGGTGCCTGGGAATACCCTCCAATCCCAAGGCTCTCAGGAGACGCAGAAGGCACATGCCTCCAACATGTGGAACAATCACAGTCTTATCTGACCAAAAGGAAGAAGGCTGAAGCAGCTGGATGGACCTGAGGAAGGGAAGATGGCCACCTCTCTCTTGTCCCATCCTTGCAGCTGTTTGTCACAGACCATGGATTCCATCAAGAAGGACAGGCCAAAGAAAGCTATCAGAAAGAGAAGGGACCCAATCCCCTCCAACCATATGTGAGTCTCTCTCAAAACTCTGTGAAGGAGGAATGGACACGGAAAACCACGTGCTGCCCACAGGGGTGGAAGGAAGGGATATACTATGGTTCCAAGTAAAAAAGCAAAGAGAGCATTCCAGGTGTGGGTTGACCTTTCTCCACAGGACTTGCAAGGGGTCGGGAAAATGTAGCACCCAAAATCTACAGGTACAAAATCTGACATCTCTACCAGGAAGATGCTCCTAGAGCTGGATTCCTTCCAAAGACTACTCTTTTTTGGCATGGCCAGACTCTAGGCTGCCTGGTGTCCAGCTGCACAAGGCCGCTGAAGTGAGGCTGCTACGGGTATCCCCATGCCCTCTGTAGAGTCCTTTCAAATCCACATCAGAAAAAAGTTCCAGCTGTGATGCAGAATCAAAGGCCACTAGCCAGTCCTTAACTGGCAGAAGTTATTCCCCTGTAACATCAAGGTTCAGGTGTCCATTCTCCAGCCTCAGGTACATAAGCAAGACTCCCGAGGAAGCTGTTATGGCAGATGCATGCTGGGCAGCTGGCCACAGGAATCCAAATAGTGCCCATTTGGAATAAAAACAGCTAATGGTGGCTAAGGGCACTGTTATGTGCTGCCTGTGATTGTTTGAATAGGAACGACCCCCAGAGACTCCTGTGTTTGAACACTTGACCCATAGGGAGTGGCACTTTAGGAGGTGTGGCCTTGTTGGAGGAAGTGTGTCACTGTGTGGGGCAAGCTTTGAGGTCCTATATACTCAGGCGGCACCTAGTGTGGTACACAGGCTCCTTCTGCTGACTGTGGATCAAGATGGAGAAATCTCGGCTCCTTCTCCAGCACTATGTCTGCCTACCCACTGCCATCCTTTCCACCATGATGATAATGGACTAAATCTCTGAAACTGTAAGCTCCAATGATTTTTTTTTCCTTTTTAAGAGTTGCTGTGGTCATGGTGTCTCTTCACAGCAATAGATACCTAACTAAGACACTCCTGAACACACTCAGGGCAGGAGGACACACCACCTACACACAGTCTTTACCCGCGGCCACCTCTCTGACCTGGACCTCAGAGCACGCATGTAGTTCAGTGATCATGCTCATGTCAGAGCTGCAGGCCACCTAAAGGGATCTTATTACCCTAAACTCTTGAATCCTGCATCATTGCCTGAATGATGCCTCCCTGGAAACACAGCAAGGGCCTAAGGCTACCGACCCCTTCACCCCAACTTGCCCTCAAATGTGCGAATGACACCTCCTAGGATCCAGGACTGGGCCTCAACTATCAGAGGACACTTGCCGTACAAATTGGGTACACCCAGAGAACACAAGTGATCCATACCTGCTTCACTGGATGTGCAGGAGGTGGGGTCACTGGCTGAGCGGGCCACACGCCCTGGGCTTGGTTGTGCCTGTGTGCTTAAGCTTGTTGCTTCTGGAGACATGGGGTGAGGGACTGGAGTAGATAGGAGAGGTGGTGGGGTGTCTAAAGTGCCATCGGGGGATGGGTGGCTTGGGCCCAGGGAGGCAGCGCCCTCTGATGTTGGGAGACTGGTGCTACTGGCAGGCACTGCAAGAAAACGGACACAATTAGAGTGAGTGGCTACAAAGCCACCTGAATGCACAATCAGCCTGCCACCTTCCCTCCAAACCCAACCTATATAAACTCCACAGTTATAAGCAGACCAACCCCAAGGCAGGTCACCAAGCACTGCTGCACAGATACAACCCCCCAGAGGTGGGGGGGTGGTAAGCAGACAACCTCCCTGGAATTACTCCAGGAAGAGGATGGGGGAGCTCAGGCCCCACCCCCTCCCAGAGAGACCAAAGTCAGCACTCTGTGGCTTTGATCACCAAGCTGCTTGCTGACTGGGACTCACACAAGAAAGAACACAAGGAGGACACCAGGACAGGCAGGAAGTGCAACCCATACCTAGCGTGCAGTCCCTAGGTCAGATATGTGGGTCAAACATAGCCCATGTGATGCTTGCCTTAGTTCCCAGAGTTGGCCCTAGGTAGCAGCATCAACCTTACCTGGGAACAAGTAGAAATGAACCAGAGTTGGGGGGGAGGGCATGTAGCTCAGCGAAGGGCTCTGATTCGGCACACTGAGAAGTGGGAGCACCATCTGGTGGAGCCTGACCACTCAGGCCTCAGCTGGACTTGGGTGTGCACTAAATTGTGAGCAACCACCCCTGTGGACCAGCGAAGCAGGCCGTGTCTGTGCTTCTTTCCCACTCACAGCCCAGAAGCCTGTGGTTTGCACCAGAGGCTGTTCAACCCATGAACATTAAACCCCAATGGGAAGACACATCCTTCACTCTCCTGGAATTACCAACAGCCTATTGGCTCCACTCAGGGGCAGACACTGGAGGGTGACAACCTGCCTGAGGTGCACTTGCTGCATCCCAGCACCCAGAATTCCATCAGTGCTAGGAAGCTTTGAGCTTTGCTCCTTCTTTCTCTTTCCTCAGGGCCTGGTCAGTGCTCCATTCTGTCCCTGTGCCCATGAGCTGGCCCAGGCCAGGACTTCAGAGCCACACGGTACTCATTGCCTATTCTTGAAGCAGCCCATGAAAGATTCTAAAGTATTCTTGCCTAACCACTGCTACCCCCTCCATAAACAGTTGGTGACAATTAGTGGCCTGTTTGGAAAACATGAATGGTACCACATACATCATATGCAAGCAAACACCCCAATCTTCAGGAAGATTAATCCTTCTATTTTGAGGGTGTAAAATTGGCAGAAGAAAAAATCCATAACAGTAGACCTGCAGCTTGGAGCTGCAGTAAAAGGATAGTAAAGGGAAGAAAGAAAACTGACAATAAAAAGTTATGTGCTTTGGCCTGCAGAATCAACTAAGCTGGGCTCATGGGGGCTCACAGAGACTGAAATAGAAATTGCGGAGCCCGAATGGGTCTGCACTAGGTCCTCTACTTATATGTTATGGTTGTTGGCTTGGTGTTTTGAGGGGACTCCTGGCAGTGGGAGTAGAGGGTGTCTCTGACTCTTGCCTGCTTTTGGGACACTTTTCCTCCTACTGGGCTGCCCTACCCAGCCTTGATGTGAGGGTGTGTGTGTGATCTTATTGTATCTTTTGTGCCTTATTAGGTTGATGGCCCTGGGAGGCCTGCTCTTTTTTGGAAGGAGACAGGGGAGGGAGGTAGAACTGGAAGAAGAAGAGGGCTGGGAAGCATGGGAAAGCTGCAGTTGAGATGTATTGTATGAGAGAAGAATAAATATTTTTTTTTAAAATTGTGTGCTTGCATAATGAACACAGTGCCACCAAAGCAGAAGTGAAACAGAGACGAGTCCCTGCCGTGAGTAGGAAGGTCTTGCTAGGCCTCACACATTTCCTCGTGACTTGGTTTACTAAGCACTTTTTCTTATGAATCTACTCCCAAAATATCTTCTAAAAACACTTCAAATGAAAGAAGTGAATCAAATCCAGATACACACATGGACAACAGACCTGTAAAAAAAAAAAACATGTTGCTCAAACCCAAGGCTGGGAACGGTTATTTCCTTGGAGGGTGGGAGAAGCCATCAGGAGTGATGGTACCCTGCTTCTCACTTGCTGGTGTAACTTTTCTGTAATGCAGTTTGGCTGCTCTAGTAACACTTAAAATACAAGCTCCTTTGGACTCAGCAATTGCTCTCAGGAGTTTATTACTGGACATAATTTGACAACCACTCAGAGATGAAGAGATTATATAAAAAAGAAGAAATACTTGATCATATCAGAAAACTTCAAAGACAGAAATGGCATTTAGTAACCTCAGCCAACCTCTGTTAGTTACTCCCTAGGGAACTACGCAGTGGTGTGCCAAGATCATCTCAAATAACCGAGCTGTGTGGGGCAGGCATACACAGTAGTGTACCAAGATCATCTCAGGTAAGCTGAGGTGTGTGGCACAGGCATACATAGTAGTGTACCAAGATCATCTCAGGTAAGCTGAGGTGTGTGGTGTAGGCTTATCATCCCTGCTACACAACATGCTTGACACAGGAAGACTGTGTTCAAGGCCTATCTGGACTATGGACAGTAAGAAGTAAAGAGAGCACTGAGGATGTGGAGCACCATAGAATGTTTGCCTGGAATGTGCAAGGCCCTGCATCAAATATAAGTATTGCTCACAAATAAATACACACACACACACACACACACACACTCTTATACATGCACACACTAGCATCAAATACTAGTACTACTCATCTATGTGTGTGTGCGTGCTTGAGTGTGTGTGTGTGTGTGTGTGTGTGTGTGTGTGTGTGTGTATGTGTATGTGTGTGTATTTAACCTTTTGGAAAATATTTAAGTATATATTTATTTTGACTGTTTTGGAGATGATTTAAGTCTGGGGTGTGGGGGTGGGACTATGCATTTGACCACAAGTACCTGCAGAGGCCAGAGGCATCAGATCCCCCTAGAGCTGGAGTGGTGGTTGTGATCTGCCTGATGTGGACGCTGGGAACTGAACATGGATCCTCTGCAAGAGCAGTATGTGCCCATAACTGTTGAGCCATCTCTCTAGCCCAACATCGAAAACCGTATTTTAATTAGCTTTGATTCATACCTCCTAACTCTTCTTGATCCGATTTTCTTACTGTCAGTGCTAACACTATCAAGTCATGGATAGGCAAGTGTGACTTCACTCTGAATATACATAATTACTAGAAACAAGAAATTACAACAGATACTGAAAAAGCTCCAAGCCCAAGACCGGTGACTGTTTTTTTCTTGCTGTCACCAATATAATGCTGTGTACCTGTTTTTATGACAGTTATGGTCCTAATGGACTTCCAATTTTTCATCCAAAAAACCCACCTGTAGTTTTCTTAATTAATGTAGAATAATGTTATCTAGCATGTGCCACATGTTTTTTGTGACTCTCATTAATGAACTTAACTGTTCTCCCAGGTTTTCACTATTATGAAGAATGAAAACATCTTCACCTTTAGAGTTACTTTCCTTATGTTAGACCCCCCAGGGCACTCGGAGAAGTGGAGATTACTCCAACTAACAATAGAAACATGGCTTCTAGATAAAGAGCCCTAAAATGACTGACTGGTTTATAAGATGCCAGCCAAAAATCTGGGCTGTAGCTCCCCTGTGGTCTTGCCAATGTCCAAACCTCATCACTACATTGTTATTCATAATAGTTTTAAGCCAACTAGAATCTATGAAGGATTGTAAAACTAAAAGGCAAGTCCAGCATGGTAACAAGGGGAAAGATCAATGTGAGAGTGAGCCACGTCTGTATCACACTCATAACAATGGTCAGGAGGACCTGGAAATCCCAAATGCTGTACTGTTCCTGAGTGAAGAGAATGAAATCCTCTGTGTGCAGCCCGCCCTCTGTGTGCTTGAGTTCTGCACTTGTCCATTCAACCAAGTGTGCTTTTGAAAACTTTGGTGTCTATGCTAACTGGGGTAGTTTGAATGTAATTGGCCCCCATAATCTCATAGGGAATGGCACTATTAGGAGGTGTGGCTTGTTTGGGTGGGTATGGCCCTGATGAAGGAAGTGTGTCACCGTGGGGGTGGCCTTTGAGGTTTCGTATGCTGAAGATACTGCCCAGTGTCTCAGTCTACTTCCGGTTGCCTGCAAGATGCAGAACTCTCAGCTACTTCTCCATCACCCTGTCTGTTTGTACACCACCATGATGATAATGGACTGAATCTCTTAACTGTAAGCTACCACCTCAATTAAATGTTTTCCTTTATAAGAGTTGCTGTGGTCATGGTGTCTCTTCATCCAACAGAAACCCTAACTAAGAAGCTGATATCAGGGACTAGGGTATTGCTGTGATAGGCCTGACCTTGTTTTGGTTTGGAGTAATATGGACTTTGGGAGTCTGGGTTAGGAAAGCAGTAGAATGTTTTAGGCACACTTCTTTAATGGGCCATACTACTGGGAACATGGAAGGCAATGGTACTGAATGTGATTTGATGAACTATGGTGATCAAGAGGTTTCGGAGGAGAATGTTAGTATGTGGCCTAAGACTGGTATTGTGATATTTTGGTGAAGAAAGTGGCTGCTTTCTGCCCTTGTCCAAAGAGACTTCCTGAGGCTAAAGTGAAGAGTTTGGATTAATTCTGCTGGCAGAGGAAATCTCACAATAGCCTAGAACAAACTCTGCTTTGTGGCCCACTAGTGGTAACTCTAATGAAGTTAGAAAGGGAGCAAGCTGAGAAAGGAAAAATATTTCTGGAGAAAAAGAGCACCAGGAAGTGGAATGGAGCTAAGTTCTGTGTTCTTGGAGTAAAGGGAGTATTGACCTCAGGGAAGGATCCCACCCAGCTAAGTTTCCAACTTGTGAAAAGGAATTAAGGACCTCGGAAATCTATGGGGCCTCTTGTGGTAGATCAATACTTATCCCTAGCGTAGGAATGGACTTTGGGAGCCCATTTCACATAGAGGTATACTCCCTCAGCCTAGACACATGGGGGAGGGCCTAAGCCCTATCCTAAAGGATATGACAGACTCTTAAGATCCCCCATGGAAGACCTCACTTTCCCTGGGGAGCAGAAATGGTATGGTGTTAGTGGGTAGGGTATTAGTGGGGGGTAGGGGAGGAGGGGAGGAAGAGGGAACTGGGATTGACATATAAAACAATCTTCTTTCTAATTTAAATAAAAATGGAGGAAATAAAAAAAGAAAAGGAATTAAGGAAAATTTTAGAATTGAATGCACACCTTTAATCCCAGTACTGAGGAGGCAGAAACTTTCAGGTCTCTGAGTTTGAGGCCAGCCTGGTCTACAGAACCAGTTTTAGAACAGTCAAGCTTAGGCAGTGAAGGTCAAAAGCAGAAGGGTGGTGAAGATATAATTGAATAAGGGGGCCATGTTCCAGCCCCAGCAAGCAGCAGAACTTGGCAACTTTGGCCAATGGTTCTGGCTTTAGAGTTACGGATAGAAGAAATGGGTTATGAATTTGCCTTCATGCCTAAGGAAAGCCACTGAGGCCCGGCATGTGTCAGAGGTGTTCCTGAATGGACACCTAGAGAGGCCATTGCATGAAGCTGTACAGTTGAAGCCTAGATTGCCTTGGATAACCCAATATGTTAGGGATGCCAGAGTCGTGGGATACCTGCCTAGGAGAGCTGCTAATGGGGGCTGGAACCAGCCCAAGAGAAAGAAGTGTGTTACAGTCAACGAAGCTGCATGGACTAAATGTTCCTCTTTGTTCCTAAAAGAGTGAGCCTCAAGTTGAGTAGTAATTTTCTTCACATTCACATCCTTGAGTGAAGGAGGACACCAAGGAAAGAGTGGACAAAATACCCCAGAGGAAATGTGAGCTCTCCCAGGGACACAACTTACTGGATCTACGTTGGGGAGGAATGCTGTGGCTAAGGTGCCATGCTACAGATAGACAAGAGGGAGTAGGAAGAGGGAGAGAGAAGGAAACAGGAGGAAAGAGACATCATTGGAAAACACACAAGCAGTGCTTCGAACCGAGACAGGTACGATTGATTACCTGGTGTGCTGAAGCCAGCAGCAGTGTTTGGGTCCCCGGAACTGGAGTCAGCCACCTGGTGATCAACACTTGGAACCTATAACAAGAAACACACAGCATCACTCTTGCTCAGGAGAACACCCACCCAGGCAGGCCTCCAGGAACACCGCCAGTGCTCTGAGCTTTCAGATTCCTTTTTCAATCAACACAGATTCTAAGCTATCAGGCCGAAACTTCCCAGGCAGTTCCAAAGGGTGATATAGGAATCTTCATGCAGCATGGACTATGTTGAGGTCATGTGGATGCATCCTGTTAGGCTTAAAGTCCAGGAGGACGTGCGTAAGTTCTGTGCAAACAGCACTCTATTTTATGTGAGAGACTTGAGCATGTATGGATTTTGGTGTGTGTGAGGGGGCATCCTGGAACAAATATCCTGAGGAACAACTGTGCAGGTTGGCTTTAAGGCTCATCTGGTGAGAGAGAATGGAGACATGTACATACATCATTTTCTTCTCCCCCAAATTTATGAGGTGGGGTATGTGTGAGAATGGAGAGTTCAAGAGTCATTGCAAAGATTGAAGCCCATTTCACTGGCTTTCTGCACTCAGGTATCTTCCAGGGAACTGGCATACACTGAGTCTGTTCATCTTCCACTAGGGCAATATATGGAACCAACACAGGTGTGCTGCATAATTTCCTGTCAACTTGACACAGGCTAGAGTCATCTGAGAGGAGGGTTCCTCGACTGAGAAAATACCTCCATAAGATTGGGCTGTAGGCAAGCCTGTAGAACATTTTCTTAATTAGTGATTGATGGGGGAGGGCCCAGCCCATTGTGGGTGGGGCCAACCCTGGGCTGGTAGTCAGAAGGAGTAAGGCAATAAGCAGCACTCCTCCATGGCCTCTGTATTAGCCCCTGCCTCCAGTTCCTGCCCTGTTTGAGTTCCTGTCCTGATTTCCTTTCATGATGAACAGCAAATATGGAAGTGTAAGACAAATAAACCTTTTCTTCCCCAATTTGGTTTTGGTCATGGTGTTTTATCACAGCAACAGAGACCCTACTAAGACGAAAGGCCACAAAGGATCTTTGTGGGATCAAAGTGGGACATAGGACGGTCCCCACCCCATCCCAGATGCCTTATCTGACTCTTTTCTCTTATTCTGGGAAGAATAAACCATGGGACAAATGGTCCTGAGACCCAACATGCTTAACCCCGGCATGGCTAGGGCATGGAATGAGCACTGAACAAAAAGGCTGCATCTCAAGTGAACTCCCAGCCTGTCCTTGACTTGCTTACACTTTTCCTTCCTTTTGTTCCTTTGCAGACAGAATGAAGAGGAACCCTCTAGGCTACTCTCTTGCCTGAGCTTTGGGTCAAGGTCCAGGTGCACACAGGGTGGGGTGCCAGTCTAACTGCCAATCCTCAGTGTGGCAGCAATGAGATACTATTAAGAGCCACCCTTGGAGAGTTCTCTTCCAAGTTCAGGTTAGGGAGTTTCTGCTACTCCCCTCTAGGACTGTCTTAGTCAGGGTTTCTATTGCTATGGCAAAACACCATAACCAAAAAGCAAATTGGGGAGGGAAGGGTTTATTTGGTTTATGGTTTCACATCACTGTTCATCACTGAAGGAAGTCAGGGCAGCAACTCAGACAGGGCAGGTACCTGGAGGCAGGAGCTGATGCAGAGGCCAAGGAGAGGTGCTGCTTACTGGCTTGCTCAGCCTGTTTTCTTATAGAACCCAGGACCACCAGCCCAGGGATGGCACCTCCCACAACGGGCTGGGCCCTCTCCCATTGATCACTAATTGAGAAAACGCCTCACAGCGGGATCTCATGGAGGCATTTCTTCAACTGAGGCTCCTTCCTCTCTGATGACTCCAGCTTGTGTCAAGTCAACATATAAAACTGTCCAATACATGACGTGACTCCGATCTGGAGTCCTCAGGAAACAGGACACAGAAGGTTGAGCCCACTGGCCTCCTGCCCCATCTTACCCTTCCTGGGCTGTGTGCGACGCAGTTTCTTCCCCAACAGGCACAATTCTTCCATCCGTGCTTCAGGCATCTAACACAGGCCCTGGGCTTGAGACATGGCACACCCTGTCTATGGGCCACCCACCCCTTCCCCAGCTCAGGAAACAATATCTCGTGTTATTTCAGAATTGCTCTGGGGACATACTGGCAAGTAATGAGCTCAAGAGGAGACTGGGGAAGGTGAGGCAAGCCCCTGCGGCTTGGTCCAATTCCAGCTCAGGTAATTACATTCCTGCCTCCTGTGTTGCCTGCCACTTCAATCAGATAGTTGCTATTCCTCATCTCTGCTGCTGCAAACTGTGATGGAGTTAGGGCAGGTGGCTCCAGCTGGGGCACCAACACAAAGGGTGTGAACTGCTCCCTGTTGTGGCGGTGGGGAAGTGGGGTGCCTAGGAGAGCTGGAAATCAAGCTAATGCCAGGGAGGAGAGCAGCCTCCACGCTGCCTTTCATCCACTGGTAGGCTTTGGAGCAACAGTGCACATGCTATTTTCCTCCCTAAGCCCTCCAGGACTGGTGGGGAGGGAACGGAGGGAAGAGAGAATTCATGCCACCATCACATCTACACACACCTTTCCCCTCTACTGTATTCAC